ATCTTACTAATACCACTTCTTTTTGACATGTTCTAACAAATTAATTGGTCTCTTTCAAAAAGCAGTGAGGCAAGCATTCAGATTTCTTGAAACATAAATCAGCCTAAATGCTTTTTTTCAACAAAATTCTTTATAACACAGAATTTAAAGGCTCTTTTTCCTCAGCTTTGCTGAACTGCAGCTTTGGTAAAGGGGCACTTTAAAGGTGAGCTCTTTTGGGGGTGCCACATGGGCATAAGGGCAATAGTTCCTCTTCTTTCCCTCATCCTAACATGCCATCCCCCTCTTGGACTTCAGCACAGAGAAAGCAAGTTCCATGTGTGTTACAGTATCCTCTACCTCCCTCGAGACAGGATTTCCCAGTCTCTTCTCCTCTGCTATAGAATTAATCTCTGTATTTTCTAAATCTAGCCTCAAGTTATAGCCTTAATATTTGGGGTACATGCAAAGAAACTGGTTTACTCTAGGGAACAAATAAGTAAAGCTTTCAAAAATACTAACCTGAAAGTGAGAATACCTGAGAAAAGCCTTGTTTTGAGAGAAAATTGATATATCGGAGATCAAGATCATAGATTCTAGAACTAAAGTTTTGATGAAATCACAGATAAAGAATGCAGACTTCTTATACATTATCTAACACTGTCTTTTTCTTTTTTTTTTTTTTGTGAGGAAGATCGGCCCTGAGCTAACATCTGCCAATCCTCCTCTTTTTGATGAGGAATACTGGCCCTGGGCTAACATCCATGCCCATCTTCCTCCACTTTATATGGGACGCCGCCACAGCATGGCTGGACAAGTGGTGCATCAGTGCGCGCCCGGGATCCGAACCAGTGAACCCCAGGCTGGCACAGCGGAGCACGTGCACTTAAACCGCTTGCGCCACTGGGCCGGCCCCTGTCTTTTTCTTTTTATTTCTTATTCTGAAACATTGATTTTTTGCCACCATCAGTCCTTAGTATTCTTCCATGTTATATCGCTTGATTCAAAGAGGCTAAGTAAAATTATTGTCCTATTTTTAGTCTCCAGGGTGAAATTTATAGAGGTAGCAATACCAATTTTCAGAAATTCTCTTCATTGAATAAATTCCTTAAATATGGAGCATGGGCCGAAGTAAAATTTACTAAAATTTGTTCGGTCAGCTTCTTAGGAAATCCTTATTTTTTTGAAAGCAAGTTAAGGATTGAAACAATTTATGTAGAAAAACAAATACACTTATGAAAGAGTATTGATAACAGACATGCAGATGTATAGGAATTATATGCACAATCTTTTTGCTAATTGTTAACTAATCCATTAAGCAAATTGTTTTTAAAGCCAATGCTACATTGGCCATACCGTAGCCACTAAGCCCATGTAGCTATTTAAATGTATATTATTCAAAATTAAATAATTAAAATTCAGCTCTTCAGTGGCACTAACCACATTTCAAGAGATCAGTAAGCCACATGTATCTAGTGGCTATCCTACTGGACTGTAAATATACAACATTTCCATCATTGCAGAAAATCCTATTGAACAGTGAGGGCCTAAAGCACTTGGTTATGGAAATATACAGAATCTCTGCCTTTATGGGGCTAATTGTGTTGCTATATTCAGACAATAAGCATGTAAATTAATAATATGAACTCATGTTAAGAATAAAATAAAATTGCGTCATAAGAATTAAAGAGAAATTTCTGAGTCAGGGGATGGAGGTGGCTATTTTACCCAGAATGATTAAGGAAGAATTCTTTGAGCACGTGGCATAGAAGTCAACCATACCAAGACCTAAGATAAGAGCATTTGAATCAGAAAGAACAGAAAATACAAATGTCCTGCATTTTGCAAGGTTCTCCTGAAACAGAAAAAAAGGACAGTGTGGCTGAAGCATAGTGGACACTTGAGGACATTGTTAAGAGAGAAGGTCAGAGGAGTGGGAAATGGTCAGATCGTGTGAAGTCATTGTGGTAGAAAGTGTAAGTTGGCTCACTCAGCACCTATTCCAGCTCCCTCTATTTTGACTTTCAGTATAATAAGGCCAGTGAAAATATGTTTTCCAAACTCCTTTCCTACTAGGTTGCCATGTGTGATCTAAGTGCTACCAAGTAGGTGCAAGTCTGAAATGAGCAACTTAAGGTGATACCTACACGCTGAAGACTGTATCTTCAGGCAAGTACAAAAGCAGAAGGCATTTGTTGGCTTGTGGCAGCTATCACAGAATTTTTGGCATCAATTCTCTTCTCTCACCGGTATCTACCGGATAGGTCCTGTGGCATAGACAGTCATTTTTTCCCTGGCTCTTTTGATCTTGGCTACATAATATCCAAGGCTAGTTCTCTGACCTTCCTGGATAGTGTATTTGAATAATTTTTTACTCAACCAGCTAAAATGAGTTATGTCTTCTAAAAATAAGGACCAAATACATACGGGACTTCCAGAATTGTGAAGTGAAGAGCTCAACAAACCCTGTCCCCAAAAAACAGTGATAAAAAGGAGAAAAGACAAAAATTCCCAAATCGGAAATGAAAGACAGAACATCACTACTGATCCTATAGAGGTGAAAAGATTTACAAGGAAACACTATAAACACTGTTATGCCAACAGATAACTTTGATGAAATGAGCACATTCCTAGAAAGATACAATTATCAATACTGACTCATGAAGAGAGAAAATCTGAATAGATCTGTAACAAATAAAGATATATAATTAGTAATTAAAAATCTTACTACAGAGAAAACCTGGACCTGGGTAGCTTTATTAGTGAATTCCATCAGATGAGTAAAGAAGAAAGACCAAGTCTTCACAAACTCTTCTAGAAAATAGTGGCGAAAGGAACACTTTCCAGCTCATTTGATGAAAGAGTGACTTATGAAGAGCAAAGAAATATAAGAAAAGGATTGATTCAAATATTTGCTCTCTCAGTGTGACCTCAGTGGGCGGTGGTAATCGGGCTGTTAGAGGTGGGGTGTTACAGTGGCCACACTTGTCTCAGGTGTCAATTGCTTTTCACCCAAGTTTAGATTCCTTTGGACACACATGTCCATCAATATATCTATATATGATGGAAACAAATGCTATGACCATGACTTGGTTTCTTTCCCAAACTACTGTGGGCCCTGAGCACACAAAGAGATGCAGAAGAGCATCTGTTTCTCTGACCCAGTTCACTCCTGACGGTTAGGAGTCGGCCGCACCTCAAAGTCCTCTAGAGGGCGCCGTTGCTTAATTCAAATGCCAACCAGCTGGTCTTGGGTCTTTGAATAAAAAACACTGGTACAATAATTGTTAAGATCAAATTCTCCCAGAAGTTTCTTTGGAAATGACAATAATTCAACATAAATTTTGAAAGGTGTGCTTGAGATAATTTTCGTGAAAAGATAATCTCCTTTAAACATGCACAAGGATAAACGAAACTCATGAGGTTAAAGTTTTACTTTCTTGCCAACTTGGTTACATCATCTGTCAGGTTCTCCTCACAAAATCAAGCTCTCTCCCAATGATTCCCACGAGCCCTCATTCACCTCCTCTTCTGTCCAGGTAACACTTATTCACTCTTCATATTTTATAAGTCTGTGGGGGGGAACTTCATGACCTCTTCTTCCCTGACCATCCCTCCCTTACCCCCAACTGATGATGAACAAATTCTCATGGGAAACAAGGGACGTGGAAGAGACAGAAGTGTTCTTGGGAAAGGAACAAGGAGAAAGAAGAGAGCATTTTAATACATTTTTGATGATGATCTTATGCATTTCAGGAAACAAATTGGAAATGCCTGAGATTAATACTTGAGACTAAGGTTAGAAATAAATGAGTTTTTTGTGTCCTTCTGGGCCCAAAAGAACAGCTCTGTCCATCAGCTAATAAAGTCTTCTCCATGGTTTGTATGTACTGTGAATGGTGCTCTTGATAGGAGATATTCTTGAGTGAAAAAGGAATATATTTTCATTCTTACTAATATTTGCTATTTTAAAATATTACCTCATAGTGGTACTATGTGAGACAATAAAATCATATTCCAAGTCTAGAATCTACCACAGTGAAGTGTACTGTTTTTTGTACATGTCACTCCCTTTAATAAATATTTGTTCAACTCAGTTGACCTAAGTTTGATTGCTTAATAAATTTGATTATTGCATAAAAGTTGGATTTACTTCAAGAAAATGAAGCAATTGCTTGGATTACTATTCAAGGGAAGCAAGTCGTAAGTTCAGAAGAACAGATGTCTATACAGTACAAATATCAAGATAAAATTCACTAGGTAATTGTCCAAGTTGCAAATTTGCCTAAAAATCCATTGAGAAACTATTAATTGGCATGTGATTAAAAATGGGTTTATATCAAGAAATTATTTTTCCCTTTTCTGGCAAAAGAGGCTGTCTAAAATGACTCTAATAAATACTTTGCAAGACTTGCCAATGCTGGGTCCAATTTTTATGCCACTTAATAAAGTTAGCACAAAAATACCTCATGTTTAAGGAATAAAAAGCTTGTTTTCTATATTTCATTATAAACTTTTAGAAGTTGTAGTATTTTTTAAGATTAATATTAGTTTTAATATAAACTATATTAAATAGTATATAACTTCATATAACAAAGCAAGACTTTTGTTTTATTTCTTTTTTATTCATAAACGTTTTCAGCCCCTTGTTTTCACCTAAATGAACCACACACACGTGCTAAATATTAAAATTCTGAGTACAGGAAGCATAAAATGATGTATTTCACCATCCAAGAACAAATCACATTAACCCTTTTGGAAATAGAGACTTAGGTTTCATATATTTATTCATATATCCATTGCTTTAACATATATTCATTAAATAAATCTTATATGAACCTCGGTTCTAAATGCTGTGCACTGTCTTCAGTGCTCCTATGGCTAACGTGTGGGTTATAGTTTTCACAACCAAGTACGTAGTTAAGAAGGTAATAATGAGACATATAACTTTAAAACAAGATAATGATTCCTTTTCATTTTGCTTTTACCTACAAGAGGTATTGGAGGGCTTCAGAGGGTAGAGAAATCACTTCCACCTCAGGACATTTTGAAAAGTTTCAAAAGAAATGTTGAATTTGAGATAAAACTTACAAGAGAGGTAAGATTTCTCTAGGTAGCAATGGAAGAAGAGTGTGTTAGTTGGAAGAGGAATATAAGAAAATAAACTGGAAATGTCACAAAATAATGACAGCAGTCATTTATTTAGTGCTTACTATGTATCAGGTTATTTATACACTGTTGTTGTTAGTGTGTCCAGTCGATTCTGACCCTGTGGACAGCACAATGGGACCCTGCCCGGTATTTTTGTGCCATCCTCTCACCTTCTGGCATCGTGTCAGACAATGCTCCACCGCTATTCATAGGGTTTTCACGGCCAATTTTTTCAGAAGTGGGTGGCCAAGTCCTTCTTCCTAGTCTGAAAGATCCACTGAAATCTGTCCACCATGAGTGACCTTGCTGGTATTTGAAATCCCAGTGGCATAGCTTTCAACGTCATGGCAATGCGCAGCCACCACAGTATGACAACCGACAGACAGGTGGTGTCTGTCTTTCCTGACAGGGAAACGAATCAAGGCCATGGTGGTGAGAGCACAGAATCTTAACCACTAGACCACCAGGGCTGGCTAATTTATACATTATTACCTATAATTCTCACAATGACCTTAAATCCTCATTCTGTAAATGGAGAAACTGAGGTTCTGAGATATTGAGTAATTTACTGAAGGTCACACAGATCTAGGTGACAGAGGCTGAATTCATTCCTCAGAGCTCTCTGACTCTCAATCACCATTTTAAGAATCATCCACATAGATTTGTTGCTGGATCAGAATTCACACTGGAGAGAACTAGACTGTAAGACTACAGAACTACTCTAGGGAAGCCTGAGGTGAATAACCACATCTGTCAGGAGCTGAGCAATGTCTTGGTTCAATGACAGACATGATATTTACAGTGAAACTGACCTTTTTTTGTATGTAAGAGATTCAATACAGGAGTCCATTTACTACAGCAGGATATGAAATTGACTCATGGGATTTGACCTTCCTAGTACTTTCAAACCAAGACTTTAAAAAAACTCTGAAATCGACACCAAGCATATTACTAGTGACTAAATGGGAGCACTGGGACAAGCATACAGTAGTTGGAACACAAAAGTTTAGATAACTTCTTATTACACTGGACTAACTGCCTGCCTTAGTTCATGGTTCTGATGCTAGATTTCATTGGGAAAAAAGTGAATTGAGATTACATCAAGATAAAGTAGCATACTGTGAAAATTATGCATGGACTATCCCTATGACATCTTATTTTCTCCATCACTTAAGCTAGAGCTGTGTTGGAAGTATAAAGACTTTTGGCCATAAAATATATAAATTACAGTCTAGCTAATATAAGCTTAATTATATTCACATCAGCTCTGAAGTAATTTGAAAGGTAAAAAGTAAGTGTGGTGTGTGCAAAATCTGGATTCAACACTGTAGTGATTATAGTAGCCTAAAAATATAAAGAACTTCAACCCAGAAAATGTCAGTTGTTGAGGAGTGAAAAAGCAAAGGAAATCCATTGTTTTACTTTGACTCACATTTTCTACACAGGAAGCTTCCATTCATCTCATGTGTATGCACACACACACACGTACACACACTTCTGAGTAACCTTTATATTCTACTAGGTAGATGCATGCTGGAACTAATTACTCTGGTCAGCCAAAGACAGCACCAATGAACGTTCTCAGATGTTGCTTTCTCATCATACACAGGAGAGCTACAATTCGTATTGTGATCTTTTTGTAGACACTATGATAAAATTTCATCTATAGTGATGGAATTCATTGCGATATTAGGAAAGCGTATTTTCTCTTTTGGAGATAAGTGGTAAGTTGACATTTTTGAGTCTCACTGAATTTACACATAACCAACTAGGAAAAAAAGAGATAGTTAAAAATGAAAAGTGGAATATAAGAAGTTTAGAAAAGCTGTCATTGAGTTGACAGTTTGCTGAGAAAATTCATTTTCTTAGTTCTTTTAATTTAACTAGAAATCTTTCAATAGAGTTCATTTTTTAATAAAATGGTTATATAATATACAAAAAGCTAAGATGCAATATCTAAAGGCTAATTTTTAAACTAATCTGGGTAACGCTTTCTTGAATATAAGAAAATGATATCATTAAATATAAATTAACAACTCCTTTATAATGAAAATTAAAACTAACGTTGTACCAACTGTAGTTATAATGGCTTATAGAACAGGAAGATATTTTTCTTGGATATGAATATATTTCATATTGAGTGAATCAAAAATTATGTCCGTACCCGAGTTCTTATCACCGTAATTCAGGTGCTCCTTTTAGAGTAACAGCTTCCTGGTATAATTCAGTTAATTGACATTTAAGTGGCACAAACTTTGCAGAACAAGCCACGTGGATTGGAGTGATCAAAGAAAAGAATAGGCATGGTTTGTATTTTCAGGGGATATATAATTACTTTTGTTTTACAATAAATTCAGTGGTTTTCAGCTTTTGGTGAGTCTCCGTTTCATTGTCTGGAATGATAAGTGCTAGTCTGGAATTTGATATTACCTTTCTTACAAGCTATTAAATTAGCCTGTTACTTTTTCATGGATGCTAGTAGAAGACACAAGACTCCAAAGTCAGAGACAAAGAACTTTATTACTCACAATACAGCAAGAAGGATGCGACCATCAACAGACGCCTCATTCCTTTGCCCCCATATTCTCCAGAAGTTATGCAGAAGGCCCTGATGGATACTGTACAGGCATCCATGTTGCTAGAATCCAGTGGCTGAACCAGAATTACATTTGAATCTCCTAGCATCCCTTTTGGCATGGCTGCCACCCAGAGGGTGTACCAATCAGGCTTATCTGAAGTTACTGGTAGAAAAAAGACACACATCATGCCCAAGAATGGTCAGAGAATAATCCTGAATTTTCAAAGTAGTTTTATATATTTCCCCTCCCCTTTCCTCTGATCATTACCCAGGAGGGAGCCAAGAGGAGATCAGCTCACTCTGGGATGGCCACATTCAGTGACCAAATTGTCTTACTAAAGGGTATAGACCAGGAAGAGATAAGGTAGATAGAGTCAGAAATAATTTCTAAATGATTTTTTAGAAATCCATTCCACTTCCCAAAGATGCCAGCAACCTGAAGATGATAAGGAGCATGAATCTCCATCAAATATCATGATCATCAGCCCATTTTTTGGTGACCTTTATGACAAAATACAAACCATTGTCAGACTGTAGGTGGTTTGGAAAGTGGAACATGCAGCACAGTTTAGATTTAAGAGTCATAGTTGGATGGTCAGAGTTAGCTGATCAGACTGGAACAGCAATGTCATAACCAGAAAAAGTATTGACAGTCATAAAGTATCACGGACAACCTTAAGAGAGGGGTCAAAAATTCCATGTAATCAATTGGCCAGAAGAAGGCAGTGGCAATGACTCCTGCAATGTGCCCTCCCATTGTGAGTCGAATGGGTCAACTTTTGGCAAGAGTCATGAATTTGGCATGAAGTGGTGACTTATGCACCAGAAACGTATAGTCTTTTACTTTATGCCCAGTCTACAAAAGTGGATGTGTTGCCTCCTCCAGTACAATGAGGAATTTAGGTAGTGATAGTGGCCTTCTTAGCAGGCTTGATCAGCAGCCTGATTTCAGTGGGTCTCATCAGAGAATGGACCCTTACCATAGACATCTACATGAGTGATTCAGGTGTCTGATTGCCCACTGAAATTTGTTTCCACAGTTGACGGTTCCAAAAAGGGATGTATTTAATCCACCAGTCTGTGGTCTTCTGAGTGGTAGACCAGACACCCAGGACCCTGGCAGTAGCCCAAATATTTGTAAAAAGATTCGTGAAAGGTGGTGTTGGCCAGGGCTATTAAGACTGCCTTGAGTTTTGTCTACTGAATAGAGTAACCACATCCACTTTTGTTTACAAATAGCTAGCACTAAGACTGAACATCCATAGTGGCCCAGTGGACACCAGTAAGTTTTAATTTAGCTGAGCCATCAGTAAATCAGGCCTAGAAATTTAGAAGAACACCTGTGAATCAAAGACTCCATTGAGCCAGCAGCATTGCTTCACGAAGGCAGTGAAGTTGAAGATAATGTTTCCTTCAAAGGTGGAGCTGCCTCTTTTTGATGTAAAGACAAAATGGTGCTCTGGTCAGTCCAGCTGTGCTCTTGACTACACCATTTCCATTTGACTAGTGAGGCTTGCTGGGTTCTTTCATGTTAATGAGGCTGGACATCTTTTTATATGTTTATTGGCCATTTCTATTTATTTTCTGTGAATTGTCTGTTTGCATTATTTGCCTACTTTTCTATTCAGTTGTTCATACATGTATTGCTTTGTTGAAATTCTTTTTATATTATGTTTTCCAGTTTTTGTTACTTGTTTATGGCATCTTTCAGGATACAAAAGTTTGTAATTTCTATGTGGTCAAGTATGTCATGTTGTACCTATATGTCTTCTGGATTTGGTGCATTACCTCAAAGGTATTCTTCTACTCCAATATTATTAAAATATTTCTGTATGTTTTCTTCCAAATATTATGTTTGAGTCTTTAATCCATCTGGAATTCCTTTTTATATGTGAAGATTAGTAAGCAAACTATTTTCATCGAAATAAATAGTCAATATTCTAACAACATTCATTTTATTATTTTTCCAATCCCCACTGATTTAAAATGTCTCCTTTTTACATACAAAAATTCCAAATATGCCTGGATATATATTTTAGACTCTTCATCTGAGTCTAAAATATTAATGTAATAGTGTTGACAGGACAGGAAAATAATTACGTGATATTGTTTTGGAATGACAGTAATTTTTAAAGATATTGCCTTGTAGCTCATGCTGTCTTTCATTTCTCAGATCATGCTTAAATGTGCATTTTTTTTTCAGTTTCTTTATAACGTTATAAGAAGAATTATCAATAGAGCTTACATAACATTTAGGAAAAGATAGAATGAAATTTTGTTTTTGTAAGCAACTATTCAATAGC